GCCGTCGCCACTTCTCCTCTCGGGCTCGGGTTTCCTCCTCGGTGTTGTGTGGGTGCGTTGTGTCCTCCTCCTCTCTCTCCTCCGTGTGTCTCGTTCGCCTGCTGCTGCGCCTTCGGTGGAATCGCCGGGGACGCCCTCCATACAGAAATGTTTGGGGTGGCCATGGGTGTAGCAGGAGATGGCCGTGTTTGCACATCTCATCTTCAGTGGAACCGAAGGCCGTCGTGGTCACGCATCTTCGCCGCGACCGCGTCGGCTCAAGTCTTTTTCTGGCCCGCCCTCCTCTCCCTCTTCTCTCTCTCCTCCTCGGCGTTGTGTGGGTGCGTTGGGTCCTCCTCCTCTCTCTCCTCCGTGTGTCTCGTTCGCATGCTGCTGCGCCTTCGGTGGAATCGCCCTGGACGCCCTCCACACAGGAATGTTTGGGGTGGCCTGGGGCGTAGCAGGAGATGGTGATGATGCTGATGATGATGCTGACGATGCTGATGCAGATGTTGAGAAGGAGGAAGAGGAGGAGGAAGAGGAGGAGGAGGAGGAGGAGGAGGAGGAGGAGGAGGAGGAGGACGGGGAGGGGAGGGGAGGGGAGGGGAGGAGGAGGAGGAGGAGGAGGAGGAGGAGGAGGAGGAGGAGGAGGAGGAGGAGGAAGAAGAGGAGGGGGGGAGGAGGAGGTCGAGGACGAGGAGGAGGAGGACAAGGAGGAGGATGAGGAGGAGGAAGAGGAGGAGGAGTAGGAGGAGGAAGAGGAGGAGGAGGATGAGAAAGGGGGAGGACGGCGAGACGGAAGGGGAGGGGGATGAGGTGGTGGAGGAAGAGGAGCAGGAGGTCCAGTGTAAGCCCAAGAGTCATCAATGATGTTTGAATGAACCCTCCCTGCAAGCTCTTTCTTCATTGACCCCTCTTACGGTTCATCTCCACAGGGATTTGCTTCGTTGGAAGACAACCGTTTGAAGACCCCGAAGCATGCCAAAACATTGTTCTCGGAATTCCAACGCCACCTGTCAACGTGACTGTTGCGTCTTGACGACCCTGAATCGTGCCAGAGCGCCATTCCTGGGACTTCAACACCGCGAATCAGCGTAACTGTTGCGCCCTCATAGGCTTGAGTCCTTCCACATGTCTGGTACGTCGACCATGGGAACCCGTGAAACTCGGGCAAATTAAAAAGATGAATGTGCGCGGCGCTAAGGCGAGAGTCACATTTTGGAAAGGAGCCGCCCTTAATTCGTGAAGCTCTTGCAAACTGCAACAAAAACGAATGCACGCGGCGCTAAGGCGAGAGCCACAGTTTGAACACCATGAGCCCTCAATCCGTGAAGCTCTTGCATTTTTCAAACAGAAAACAAACAAAAACAAGGTGCGCGGCTCTAGGGCGAGAGCCACATGTTGAAAACGACCCGCCTTCCATTTGTGGAACTGTCGCCAATGTGTAAGCTTCAGGGTCATAACTGGTGAGGAAGTTTTAGGCGAAACGCCCGGCCCGCCCAAAAAACTGGCCCCGGGGTGTGACAGGGAGACGTTATATTTATAAGGAAGAAGAATGGAGGATGAGGAGGAGGAGGAGGAGGAGGAGGGCGGATGAGGAGGAGGAGGAGGCGGCGGAGGAGGAGCCGGAGGAGGACGAGGAGGAGGAGGATGAGGAGGAGGTGGAGGAGGATATACGAGGATGAATGAGGAGGACGAGGAGGAGGAGGACGAAAAGGAGGGAGGAGGAGGAGGAGAAGGAGGAGGAGAAGGAGGAGGAGGAGGAGGAGGAAGAGGAGGAGGAGAGGAGGAGGATATTGCAGGAGGAGGAGGCGGAGGAATATGATGCGGAGGAGGAGGAGGAGCAGGAAGAGGAGGACGACGAGGAGGAAGAGGAGGAGAACGAGGAGGATTATGATGATGAGGATAATGATAATGCTGATAATGATGAGGAGGATGTGGATGAGAAGGAGGAAGATGCGGAGTCTAATCATAATACTGATGATGATGATGATGATGAAAATGATGATGATGATGATGATGATGATGATGATGATGATGATGATGATGATGATGATGATGATGATGGTGCTGATGATGATTATGACGATGATGCTGATGCTGATGCTGATGATGCTGATGATGATGATGATGATGATGGTGCTGATGATGATTATGATGATGATGATGCTGATGCTGATGCTGCTGATGCTGATGATGCTGATGATGCTGATGATGATGATGATGATGATGATGATGATGGTGGTGGTGCTGCTGATGATGATGATGATGATGATGATGATGATGATGGGGAGGAGGATGACGATGGGGAGGATGACGACTCAGGAGGAGGAGTAGGAGGAGAAGGAGAGGGGTGAACAATCGGAGGACGATAATGAGAAGGAGGAGGAGGAGGGGGAGGAAGAGGAGGAGTAGCAGGAGGAGGCGGAGGATGAGTAGGAGGAATGTCACTAGTATGAGTAACGGGAATACCCATAACATTGTGAACATCAGTAATGTTAATAATTATGGTGATATTGAAATAATACTATGAATGCTGGTATAAATAATCGGGCGTCGGCGACTACGACTAATCATATTACAAGTAAGACGACTACTAGCCAGACCCATATTACACAGACGAATAAGAAGAGCCATACCAAGACTACGACGAATAACATTACTAGTATTGCTCATGTGGTGACGAATGATATTACTATGCGGCGCAATATTACTAACATTGACCATATAATATTCACATGCGTACTCGGGCTAATAAGATCATTAATACCAGCACTATCCGCGTATTAATGTTAACATGATTCATAATACTCGCGCTACTATTCAACATAACCTGACCACTCATACTACTACTACTACTACTACTACTACTACTACTACTACTACTACTACTACTACTACTACTGCTGCTACTACTACTACTACTACTACTACCAGTACCACTACTACGAATACTAGTACCCATGCCAATGCCAGCGCTAATGCTGATACGAATGCTAATATTCAATACTAATACAACTACTACCGCTAGGACGACGACTACTACTACTACTACTGGAACTAGGGCCAATATCACATACTATTGTTGGTTAAACAAATACGAATGGTACCACTACTACTGCTACTACTATTACGACTGCTAATGCTAATGCTAGTGCTGATGGCCATACGGTGGCGACTGACTACTATTGTTACTGCTACTACTACTACTACTACTGCTACTACTACTACTACTACTACTACTACTACTACTATCACTACTACTACTACTACTTTTGCTGCTACTACTACTACTCCTACGCCTACTCCTACTCCTACTACTACTACTACTACTACTACTACTGCTACCACCACTACTACCACTACCACTACCACTACCACTACCACTATTACCACTACCACTGCCACTACTACTACTACTACTACTACTACTACTACTACTACTACTACTACTACTACTACTACTACTACTACTACTACTACGCTACTACTACTGCTGCTGCTACTACAACTACTACTGCGACTCCGACTACGACTACCATTACTACTGCTACTACTACTACTGCTGCGGCTGCTACTACTACTGCTACTACTACTACTGCTGCTGCTGCTGCTACTACTACTTCTACTACTACTACTACTAGTACTACTGCGGCTGCCACCACTACTACTACTACTACTACTACTACTGCTACTGCTACTGCTACTGCTACTGCTACTGCTACTACTACTACTACTACTACTACTACTACTACTACTACTACGTCTACTACTACTACTACTACTGCTACTACTACTACCACCACTTCTACCACTACTACTACTACTAATGCTGCTGCTGCTACTACTACTACTACTACTACTACTACTCCTACTTCTACTACTCTTACTACTGCTACTGCTACTGCTGCTACTGCTACTACTACTGCTGCTGTTACTACTACTACTAGTACGACTGCGGATGCCACCGCTACTACTACTAATACTTCTTTTACTACTACTACTACTACTACTACTGCATATTACTACCACTACTACTGCTACTACTACTTCCAACATTTCCACTACCCCTGCTGCTGCTACTACTATTACGACTACTTCTACCACTACGGTTACTACTACTACTACTACTACTACTACTACTACTACTACTACTACTACTAGTATTATTACTACTACTACTACTGCTACTACTCCTACTCCTACTCCTACTCCTACTCCTACTACTACTACTACTACTACTGCTGCTACTACTACTACTACTACTTCTACTACTACTATTACTACTACTACTTCTATTGCTACTACTATTGCTACTTCTACTTCTACTGTTACCAAACTTCATACTAAACATGACCCTAATACATGACACTACTGGGATTACTACTGGTTACAGTACTACTACTCCTGCTGCTAGGGCTAATACGAATACTATCTCTAGTGCTGTTGATACTACTGGCACTACTGATACTCCCACCGCTGCTGCTACGAATGGTTCACTGCGACTACTGAGGCAGAGGATGATGATGACGATTCCAATCACGAGGACGAGGCTGCGGACGATTATGAGGACGAGGATGATGATGATGATGATGATGATGATGATGATGATGAGGATGATGATGATGATGACGAGGATGGGGAGGAGCAGGAGGAGGAGGAGGAGGAGGAGGAGGAGGAGCATACGGAGGATATGGAGGAGGAGGAGGAGAGGGGGGAGGGTGAGGAGGAGGAGGAGGTGGAGGAGGAGGAGAAGGTGGTAAAGGTGGAGAAGGATGATTACCAGGATCTGGAGGAGGAGAGGAGGTGGAACAGGAGGATGAGGATGATGATGATGATGATGATGATGATGATGATGATGATGATGATGATGATGATGAGGAGGAGGAGGAGGAGGAGGAGGAGGAGGAGGATGGTGAGGAGGAGAAGGGGGAGGCGGAGGAAGAAATGGAGGAGGAGGAGGAGGAGCAGCAGGAAGAAGAGGAGGATGAGCGGCATGGACATGGTGAGATGACCCGCAGGCTTCGCATCCTCCCTGAAGAGCGCGATCGCAGACGCGGCTGACCGTTCGGACAGCTATGTCGCTGGCGCCTCTCCCAGTGGCGCTTGCCTTCTCATCCTCCTACCCCGCCTCCTCCTCCTCAACCTCCTCTTCCTCCTCCTCCCCCATCCCTCCACCCAGTTCTCCACGTTCAGCAGTAGAAGCAGTCCCAAGGAGTACGGGTAGGACGATGAAGAAGGACACATGCGCCCTGGTGGGGGAGGACGTGCAGGTGGAGGAGCAGGACCAGGGACCAGAGCCATGAGGGGGGAGGAGCAGCAGCACCACGATGAGACGGGGGGAGGAGGGAGGAAGCGAAGATCTGAATATCACGAATAGGGGGAGGACCCCATACTTAATGATATTCATAGGCCTCGGAGGAGGGTGTGGAGGAGGAGGAGTAATGTGGGAGAAGGGAACGGGCATGGGATTTCGATGGTGGTGGTGGTGACGACGAATAGGAAGAGGCGGAGGGGGAGGAGGAGGAAGGAGGAGGAGGAGGAGGATGAGGAGGAGGAGGAGGAATAGGATGCGACGCGCGGGGCTTCGCCCCAGGGCCACGCCCAGAAAGCTCAGACCCGAGCTGCTAGCCCAAACTCAGGCCACGCTCAGGCGAAGCAGGGCTCAACGTGCACTTGACCCGCCACCCTCACAGCGGGATCGAACGGGCAGCTTGCAGAAGCCGTGCGGTGTGTACGGTTGCCCCAGCGTTGAGCGAAGCCACGAGAATCCGTGTACAGCTTCTGTAGTGCGCGCATGAGGCCGACTTGGGTTAGTCGTTCTTGACCTGGGCGACCGTGGCCGCGTCACCGTCACTGTCGTCGTCGTCGTCGTCGTCGTTGCTGGGGCCTTCCCCACCAGCAGAGTAACCCGCTCACTGTTCTTCGCCACCGCATGCCATTCCCGCGTGTTACCAGGGTGTCCGCAGTATTTTTTCCAGCACGCTCAACGGAACCCGCTGATGTTTTTTGGGAAGATGAGGAGGATTGTAAAGACACGGGCGAATGAAGGATAAGGCGGATGATGATGAGGAGGAGGATGATGAAGATTAGGATGAGGAGGAGGACCATCCTTCAAATTTCTTCTCACAGGGGCCTGCGAGAATTTATTTCCATTGCGGATAATGACCAGTTGGAAGTCAACGGTCACAGAACCTTGAACCTGGCTGAAACACAATTCCTGGGACGCCGATGCCGCGAATTTCTGTTGCGTCGTGACAGTCCTAAAACGTGCCAGAACACCGTTCCTGGGACGTCCACACCGCGCATCAACGCGACTGGAGGGTCGAGACTACCCTACATCATACCAGAACACAATTCCTGGGACTTCAGCCATGCGATTCTTTGATCCTGTCGCACGCTTATGAGACGAACTTGTGCAGCGCTGAGGCGAGAGCCACAATTTGAAAAACAACCGCCGTCCATCCGTGAGGCCGCCACAAGCTTCTTTTGGCACGAATGTGCGCGGCGCTAAATCGATAACCACATTTAAACATTGGTCCGCCCTCCATCTTTGAAATTGTTGCAAACTTCGAAGACGATTGGGTGCGGCGCTTAGGCGGGAGCCACATTTTTACAACTACCCGCCCTCCATGCGTGAAACTGTCGCAAATGGCAAATTCCAGGATCATGGACCGTTCGGAAGTTTCAGACGAAACGCCCAGCCCGCGCTACCGACACGCCTGCGGGTGCGACGGGGAGGAGTTATTTATAAGGGATGGAGGGAAAGGAGGAAAAGGAGGAGAAGGAGGCTGATGATGCTGCTGATGATGATGCTGATGATGATGATGCTGCTGCTGCTGATGATGATGATGATGATGATGATGATGATGATGAGGACGATGATGATGGTGGTGATGATGATGCTGCTGCTGATGATGAGGAGGAGGAGGACGAGGAGTAAGAGTATGGGGAGCAACAGCAGCAGCATCTGCAGCAGCAACAGGAGCTGTGGGATGAGGACGACGACGGTTGCACATCTCGGAGGACAAAGGCCGCCAGCTTCGAGGCTTCGGGGAGGAGGGGAACGAGGTTGGTTGAGGTGGAGGAGGTGGAGGGGGAAGAGGAGGAGGAGGAATACTAAGAAAACAAATTATGCTAACGGAGTTCCCCACATAATGATGTTTTTGGGCTAGCGGGATCAAGCAACATTTTGTAGAGAAATTGCCGACCTGCCCTCGCCCTCTCCATCCTTTTCTATCACATGGTTTGCGAATACCCTCCTCGCTCATGCGGGGCTTCCCTGGAGGGGTGGGACGGGCACGGAACCTGATAACTAGCACTGTTCGCGAATACCCTCCTCGCTCAGACGGGGCCTCCCTGGAGGGTGGGAGGGGCAGGAAATCTGATAAATAACACTGTGTTCGAATAGCGTCCTCGCTCAGGCGGGGCCTCCCTGGAGGGGTGGGAGGGGCACGAAACCTGAGAAATAACAGGTGATGCGAATACCCTCCTCGCTCAGGCGGGGCCTCCCTGGATGGGGTGGGAAGGGCACGAAACCTGATAAATAACAGGTGATGCGAATACCCTCCTCGCTCAGGCGGGACCTCCCTGGAGGGGTGGGAGGGGCACGAAACCTGATAAATAACAGGTGATGCGAATACCCTCCTCGCTCAGACGGGGCCTCCCTGGAGGGGTGGGAGGGGCACGAAACCTGATAAATAACAGGTGATTCGAATACCCTCCTCGCTCAGGCGGGGCCTCCCTGGAGGGGTGGGAGGGGCACGGAACCTGATAAATAACAGGTGATGCGAATACCCTCCTCGCTCAGGCGGGGCCTCCCTGGAGGGGTGGGAGGGGCACGAAACCTGATAAATAACAGGTGATGCGAATACCCTCCTCGCTCAGGCGGGGCCTCCCTGGAGGGGTGGGAGGGGCACGAAACCTGATAAATAACATGGTGTGCGAATACCCTGCCCGCTCAGGCAGCTCCTCCCTGGAGGGGTGGGAGGGGCACGAAACCTGATTAATAATATGGTGTGCGAATACCCTGCTCGCTCAGGCGGGGCCTCCCTGGAGGGGTTGGGAGGGGCACGAAACCTGATAAATAACACTGTGTTCGAATACCCTCCTCGCTCAGGCGGGCCTTCTCCGCTGGAGGGTGGGAGGGCACGAAACCTGTAAATACCAGTGATGCGAATACCACTTCCTCGCTCAGGCGGCCTCCCTGGGGAGGTGGGAAGGGCACGAAACCATGTAAATAGTATTGGTTTCCGATACCCTCCTCGCTCAGGCGGGGCCTCCCTGGAGGGGTGGGAGGGGCACGAAACCTGAGAAATAACAGGTGATGCGAATACCCTCCTCGCTCAGGCGGGGCCTCCCTGGAGGGGTGGGAGGGGTGGGAGGGGTATTGGTATGGTATGGTATTGGTATGGTATGGCTTGGTATGGCTTGGGATGTTATTGGTTTGGTATGGTATGGTATGGTATGGTATTGGTATGGTATGGTATGGTATTATTGGTATGGTATGGTATGGTATTGATATGGTATGGCTTGGTATGGCTTGGTATGGTATTGGTATAGTAAGGTATTGGTATGGTATGGCTTGGTATGGTATGGTTTAGGAGAAGGACGCGGGAGGAGGAGGAGAAGGAGAGGGTGTTCTGGGAAAACAAGAACCCCACTCAGGATGTGGGGAATCATACTATCAATAATAATAGTAAACCGAAAACAGTACACAGCCGGGAGAACAGTTATAACACAATCAACAAGACGATCGCCTTGAATGATTTGCACACGGCAACGCCCAAAAAGGATCATTGAGTGACATTCGCCTTTCAATGTTGGCAGCGTGCGCAGGCGTGTACCATGGGCCAGGTCATTGATATGCCATGCTTTGGCTTGCGCGCCCGGTGGCGACATTGGGAGGCGGACGCCACTTAATGCCCGGGTGCTCTTCCAAACCAATCCTTTACAGGGCCGCTGGCGTGGGCGGTTCCACGTTCTGCTGTGCGACTTTATTCCCACAGTCGGATGACTAACGTGCACCGTGCAGTGCAGACCATACGTCCTTCCTTAACATTGCCAGGTCGATGTCGCTTCGTGCGACGGGCCCCGCCTGGTCTGATTCAACATCGTTTTGGCTTCCATCCTTGTGCCACTTTTGTTATACACTTTTTCACGGGGATGCGATACAATTAAGAAGAACAGCAATGCTAGTAATATAACCTTTACTGAGACGGATACTACGAATCCTCAAATTAGTAATACACATGTACATGGTACGGCTACTACTAGTCGTTTAATTGTTCAATCGTAGGATGGATACACATAGCATAATTATTATTACTAATGCTGACAAGGATACTACTAATACGAATAATGATGCTACTGATACGTCTACGAATCATAATGCTAATAAGAAACATATGAGGATGGTACATCAGAGGAGGAGGAGGAGGAGGAGGAGGGGGAGGGGGTGGGGGAGGGGGAGGACGAGACAGGGGGAATTGTAGAATGAGGATGAAGATATGACCAGGGAGGGTGAGGCAATATGAGCCCAGAGGGATTTAATGATGGTGGTGATGCTGTTGATGATGAATGTGCAGCTCAGCGTGCGGGAGTGTAGCAGGGGAACAACGAATAGCGCGACGGCTTCTTCGCATTTGTTTGGGTTCAACTGCCCCAGAACGGCTTCGGGCGGCGCCCCCCACCTCTCGCGGGACGTGCGAGCCGCGCGGCGTGGGATCCGCCTGGCTAGACCTGAATTCCGCAGTCCTCCCTGTGGGGTGTTGGCCCCCTACGTGGGGGAGGGGCATGCGCGCGCGCGTGCTGGCGGCGAGCGGGATCCCGCTGGCTGCCCCGCTCGGACACATTAGCACTGTGGGGCCTTGCCCCGCGGCCTTGGGCAAGGGTCCCGCTGCGGCCAAGCGGGAACCCTGAGGCCCTACGGGTGCGTGGCGCAACCGAGGCGATGGCGAAGGAGTGGCGTCCCTCCGCCAGCCCAGGGCATCCGCCAAGGGCGCTGGGCTGCGGCGGCGCCAGTGATGTTCGTGGCGGTGCACGCGGCGTGTGGAATCCGCCCCAAGGAGAGGGGTATGCTGCTGTT